CAGTCTCACCTGAGGGTGACGTTGAGCACGTCGCGCGCTCTCCGGGGCGTGCCCTGCGCCTTGGCCGCCACGAAGAGCGCGGCCGCGGCCGCCAGGTGCCGGTCCCGCGGGGACGGCGGGGACGCGGCGGCCGCGAAGGCGTGGAACGCGGCGCAGGCCGTGAACAGGGCGGGGGAGCCCAGCCCCAGCTTCACACCTGGGCAGGGGACACCTGGGTCACCTGGGGACACCTGGGGACAGCTGTGTCACCTGTGTCACCTGTGTCACCTCAGAGCAGAGTGGGCGAGCCCAGCCCCAGCTTCACACCTGCACAGGGGACACCTGTGTCACACCTGTGTCACACCTGGGTCACACCTGGGGACAGCTGGGGACACCTGGGTCACACCTGGGCCACCTGGGGATCACCTGGGTCACACCTGGGGACACCTGGGGACAGCTGGGGACAGCTGGGTCACACTTGGGGACACCTGGGTCACACCTGGGGACACCTGGGGACAGCTGGGGACACCTGTGTCACCTCAGAACAGGGCGGGCGAGCCCAGCCCCAGCTTCACTCCTGGGGACAGGAGTGTCACGCCTGAGTGTCACCTGAGTGTCACCTGGGGGTCACCTGAGTGCCACCTGTGTGCCACCTGACGGTCACCTGGGGACACCTGGGGGTCACCTGTGGAGTGTCACCCCAGTGTCACACCTGTGCCACCTGGGGATCACCTGTGTCACACCTGCGGGTGTCACTGATCCGAGCCCGCCCCTGCCGTGCCACAGTGACGTCACAGTGACGTCACCAAGCTCAGCTCTAAAATAGCCCCACCAGTACCCCGCTACGCCGTCGCTATGACGTCATCAGTGTCACACCTGTGTCACCTGGGGATCGCCTGTGTCACACCTGCGGGTGTCACTGATCCGAGCCCGCCCCTGCCGTGCCACAGTGACGTCACAGTGACGTCACCAAGCTCAGCTCTAAAATATCCCCACCAGTACCCCGCTACGTCAGTATGACGTCACTACGACACCACACCACGACTCTCCCTGCCCTGTGACGTCACCGCCAAGCCCTCGCCCCGCGCTCGCTCCCCGATGACGTCGCCTCCCCGCTATGACGTCACGCCCCGCCCCTTACCCGCCTCCATGATGAACCGCGCGATCCGGAACCGCGCCCGGGCCTCGGCCCCGCCGGGCTCGGGGGGCTCGCGTGACGTCAGGGCCCGCGTCGGTGACGTCATGGCGCCCGCGTTAAAGGGCTGCGGGTGACGTCACGGCCGCGGTGACGTCACGGGGGGCGGCGGGGGCCGCGCGCGGGGCCCGGAGGGAAAATTGGGAAGGATTTTTGGGACTAGGGAAGGAATTTTGGGGGTTTTCAGGGATTTTTTGGGGTCTGGGGGGGAGTTTTGGGTTTCCCTGAGGGATTTTGGGGCTGGGGTCTCCCCTTCAGGGCACGGCCCCCCCCGAGCAGCAGCTCCAGTTCCTCCAGGACCTTCTGGACGCCGCCCCCCCCGTGGAG